GACATTGATTTTCTTATTCGAATACGTAAGAAAAGGTAAAAAGACGAAAAATTTTCTCTTTGATATAAAAAAAAAATATCATAAATCATTTTTCTCGCACATACATTTATGTATATTAGAGTCTTTCTTTTTATTTTTAACTAGATAAGAAATGAACATTATCATAAAGATACTTTGAAATGCAAATGTGACAAGGAAATAAAAATAATATTAGAAAATGTGGAAATGATGAATGTATTTTTGTCTACTCAAGCTAGACTGATTATCGGAAAAAATAAAATAAAATAAAATAAAAACTTCTCGTTTTTATAATTAATTTAGTTAACTTACATAAAGAAACAATCTATACTTCGATAAATCATAGTTCTAAAAATTTATCTATTTCGTTATTATTTCTCGTAATAGAATAATAAACGGTTAAAATAGAGAAGATAAGAAGAAAAAAAAAAAGAAAACGTCGCCTAACGAACTTTTTAAATATAAATTGCTTAAAGCGACAATATGTGTAAGTATTTCTCGTCAAATACTTCACTACTTTACTCCTAATGTGATCAGCAAGAACATCAGTAATACTATGAGACATAGTTCGTGTTCCCTACATCATCATTTCTCTCTCCCTATTGCACGATAATGTAGTACTACTAAACATCACTCAATCCTATAGAAAGACTTATACACGCATATGCTTTTTACTCCGATTTAATTGAACAAGCAACATAAGAACGGAAAAAAAACGCTAGTTCGTCTAAAAAAGATCTTTCGTCTATAGAATCTAAACGATTAATGGTGAAAAAAAAAACTAGACAACTAAGTGCACTTACTGTAAGGACGGATACTTTTTTTTTTTCTAAGAGTAAAATATTATGAAAATTATACATACTAATCAAAAAAACAAATGAAACAACGAAAAAGAAAAATTTTATTATTTTCTTTTTCATTGAAATATGTGCCAATGTTATTATTGTGCATTTTAACAGGGTTAGATGAGAAAGAAATAAAAAAAGAAATAAAACGTGATACCTCTCTTTTCTTCTACGGCGACTTTTTTAATTATATTGTATCCGTCAGAATTAATTCAATGGCTTCTTTATTTTATTGTTCTGTTTCTACAAGTATGGTACACCCCTACACTATAAACAAAATCGATAATAAAGAAAACGAAGAAGAATGTCTTGTCGACCTGAAAATATCATCGTATGTCAATTTTTCTATGTTATATAAAGTTAAGTTCAAAATTACAGGACACGATGCCTCATAATTTGACTTTTTTTTACTAGCAAAAAACAAACAAATAATAAGAAAGTACGTCAATGATACTTGACACATACTAAGTAGTTGACTTCCTGTGTATTAATTTATGCCTTTTAGCATGAACCATATAAGAATAAATCAATCTATTCAATCACTTACAATGAGCACGATCGTTTTGTTGTAAACGCTTAAATCGTTCATCAACTTGTCGATGGATAATCATATAAGTACGAAAACGATGACTACTTGACATTGTATATATGAATATAGACAAGAATGTTATCAATCGACTGTTTTATCAATGTACGTCTTTTTTTTTTTTGCTGTATATACTATTAGTTAGTTTGTTTTTTTTCTTCTAAACTATCAATGGAATTCATACGTATTTTCTCTTGATATTATACAGTTGAATCGACAAGTAGGGAGACATTACAATATCAAGTATGTGACGAAATAAATATATAAAAAAACATACGTATTCTCAATTGAAACATAGTACTCATAAAACAATATATATATCGAGTCATAAGTAGATGAAAAAAAGGGAAAAAAAAAAAATTTCTGTTTTACTTATTCAAATATATCACGTATATACAAATAGTAGTAGTAATAAAAAAAAAGTCATATAACATTCTCTTAATAATTAAATCTTTTAGATCATTAAATATAATATGATTTGATGACATACCTTCTGACTGTTGATTATGTTCAGTTTTATTTGTATGTCCAAGATGATATTTTATTCGTTGTATAAATTTTTCCTGTTGTAATTCTTCATTTCCATTTGTTGGTGTATCATCATGATAATAACTATAATCAGTAAGATCATGTTCATTTAATTTGATATCTTTTGATTTATTATTAGCTAATTTTGAAACAATTTTATCGAATTTTTTTGCTAAACTATTACTCATTATTATTTCTTGAAACCAATTTAATATTATTATGATGAAAAGAAAATGATGAATGAAAACAAAATATATTCTATTATTCCATCAGTACTTAAATATAGTCATATAACTCCTGTCTTACATCTGTCAGAATAAAAGAATATATTTGAATAAAAGAAAGACTTTTATTTGTTAGATAGAGAAATGAGCATAGGAGATAGAAAGAAAAAAAAAAGATCATAGAGGCATAGATAAATAACTTTCTGGGTTTTTTCTTTTTTTTTTTTTTATTATTTTCTTTCGAATTAATAAATGTCTTTTGGTCGTTCGTCTATTAGTTTCATCTATATTAGTCAAAAAGACAACTAGACATGTATATATTCCATTAGTCGTTCATCCATCCTCATTAAGCGACAAGATGTGTATGCATTTTATCTTCATAATAAATCGATAGAAATGACGAGCGAAAAACTACGTTCGTCAATGTCATGCTTAGATACTGTAATTTGTTTTTTTTTTTTATGATTTATCATAATATAAACTTGATTGTATTTCTTTCATCTATATGTAAACCATCAGAGAAAAAATAAGATAGAATCTTTGTATTGCACTTCTAGTTATATGTTAGTAGTAATTTAATATGAAGCAATAGAAAAGATATAACGTATGAGATTTGGGTCAAATTGACATTGATTGATTCTATGTAATTTTATATAAAATTTACGCATGAAATAAATTTAATTTATTCAAGATTTATCAAGAGACAAGTTAAATAGAATTTTTTATTATTAACAAACTAAGATAAATTCATATTTCGACATTAGTAAGACTATGCAATATCTACTCATGAGATTTGATTGATTTTCTCTCGTCTTTTTTTTTCGCATTCTCAAAATGTACTAAATAGATCTAGTGAATGAATAAATTATATACTTATATGTAAATATTGATGCAATAGACAATTGTTAAATGCACATATATTAATAAAAAGGCAAACAATATTGAAAAACATATTAATTATTGCTTGGAATGTTGTTGAATAAATATATTTGATAGGAAAATAATCTTCATAAAGTGTTTCTCTTATATTTATATAAGCAAATAGATATGATGACGTATAGCAAAAAAAAAAAAATTTTTTTTCTGCATCAAAATGACGTTGAACTTGCAGTTTTTTTTTCTCCTGTTCTTCAAATATTTTTTCCGATTCATTATCACCTTTTTTTTTGTTTAGTTCATTGACTTCTTTGTCTATAATAAAAATGCTTGAAAAATTAAAAAGAAATTATTAGTTCCTCTTTTTCTTTTTTTTACATCGTTTCATATTTATCATTTTTCTTTAATAAGAATTATTTTTAATAAAGCTTATTATATGCAAATAATGATATTCAAGTATTTTCATATGACAGACTGTCATTTTTTTATATTCATCCTATTGTCTTATCCACTAAATAGTACTCTTACAGATAAAATATATGATATGATGCATGTGTTTGCCGTTTAAATATGAATCGAGTTAAAGTAAATATCATTGTATATATATCTCAATAAGGACTTTATTTCACTATTCCGTTCTTTTTTACGGAGGTTTTATTTATCCTAAATCAATTTATTTTATTTTATTTTTTTGCTTCAATCTTATGCCGATTGTGATAAACTAATATAGCACGAGCTATCCGGAATTGACATCTATAATAGGATAATTTATGGTTCAAACATAAAAAATTACATTATTTAAAACTTTTAACAACTATTACGAATATTTATAATTCAAGAAATGTTTCGGAAGACTTAATAGAAAACTATAGGAAGATCAAAGTGTTGTTATTATCACCTATTATATTTTTTTGTTATTAAGAAGTTGTGGATGCATATAATCAGAGAGAATGACTTGTATCTATTAATCTTGGCGATCAGACCTAGAGAAGAGACCGAAAAAAAATCACAATCTAAACTTATATTCATTATTTTCTGCGCAAAAATCCTATGTGGATTCCATAAAAGTTAATGACAATTCTACATTACTAAAGCAAAAAAAAAAAAGTAATTTTAATAGACAATTAAACAAAAAAAGGAAATATATTCTTTAGAATATTGCTTACAAGGACGTTGAAATACGAAAAATGTGATAGTAGTAGAGATGGCTCAACAAGAACTATCAATTATATACTATTGCATAGTATTTTACAATGGATTTAAGACTCTTTAATAATATGATTTAGATAGAACAATTGTATACAGTACGTTTGTTTAGTCTCATTAATGCTTATTGTACTGATTACCATATTGTATCCGAATGAAGTTGCAATAGGATGTTTCTTGTATAGTCATTGTGTTCACGCTAAAAAAAATATCAGAATGTATCCGGATATGAAGATGTACGTGCTGCATTGTTTGATCAGGAAGAAAT